TTCCTAAATACAATTTCAGGCAAAACCTCAAATTGTTGCTTTTTATTTTGTTAATTCAAAACTGTATAAGGCACCTTCTAGGATAAATCTCTCCTAACGGGCTTAAAGGTCATACCCACTGATTAGTATTTTTCCACCAGAATCAGATATAGTTCAAGAAAATATAGAGAGATTTAATTCACCTCTGCCCATATTTGCCAAGCTTCTTTAGCTTTCTTTATTGTTTCTTCATAGTCTTCCAAATTTGCCTAAAAGGAAACAGTAAAAAAAAGCACCATGGTAGACAAAATGATAACACAGGACTGAGCTACTGATCAGTCAATGGAGAACCATTTCCACAATGTTACCAAGAAAACTACACAGATGTATTCATAAAGTCACCAGGAACCAACTTCAGCTTGGAGGCTTCACCATTATTTAAACACCAGATTAGCCCTATTTATATATTTATTTATTTATTAAATTTGTATGCCGCCCATCTCCCCCAACGGGTGACTCTGGGAGGCCCACAATTAAAACAAAACCCACAAACAATTAAAAAAATAAATACACATTAATTAAAATTGATTCATCAATTAAAAGGTCAAGCTATAAAGCAAACCCTATACATAAAAAACTAAAAAAATTCAAGATGATTCGGGGGGCAGAATCAGTTACCACACAAGCCACTTCCACCGATGCGAGCCTGCATCCAGCCCCCAGGCCATCTGGCATAGCCAGGATTTCAGGCTCTTCCTGAAGGCCATGAGAGCGGGGGCACACTGCACCTTAGGATTTCTACACAAAAACTCCATATAGTTGGGGGGGGGGGGAAAGGAGAGAGTAACCATAACATTTTCTACTTGCATTGCTTTTAGCTATTCTGTATTTCTTATTCCTCTCACCAACTTTCTTAACATTCCAGCCTTGGAATCTGCTCATGATTTTTTCCCCTAATGTTGCATTTTACTAAAGAGTCATATATATATAAAGAATCTTACCTGGCGAACTCTAGCTATGGGCTGATGATTTGCAGGACAATATGTTGTCACAACCTAAAGAAAAAACATTTCAGCCCCTTTTAGTAACCATCTCTATATCCATAAACCTCATGGTCAGAATACAATGCAAAGTCAAAAGCTGGCACAATTTGTGGCATCCAGCAGGGTCCAAATCAAGAGGGCAGTTTTTATGCTGAATCACATTATAGGAATTGATAAATTAGAGTGAGTTCAGGTATACACAAAAGTCCAGAAATCAATCTGTACAAGAAACAGTTGAATGCTAAGACTGGAAGAGAAGAGATAAAAGCGAGACAAGTTGGTGGTTTTCAAAGACCTGAAGTGCAGAATTGCCTCTGTACTTCCACAGGAAAGCCCAGACCCAAAAAAAGAAATTGCAAGAAAGGTGGTTTCAGCTGCAGATTAAATGAAACAGCATGAGCTTTAGGACAGGGAAACAGATCATGGCAGGAGACAGCATGCTCTCCTTCACTGGAAGTCTAAACAGGCAGGATACAGTCGTTACATCTCACACTGCAGATCCTGCACTGAGCAGGTAGCTGAGAAAGATGTGATTGCTTCTAGGTTTCCACTGATTCTGTGATTGTAAATAGCAATTCTTACTTGGTCATCTTCATTTCTGAACTTACTAGTGAGCCATGTGCCACGTCTCAGTTGCTTGACTGCAAACTGGCAATACTTTGTGTGGCCATTCCTAAACTGGCAGGCATCCCTCAGATGTGCTGGAAATACAACTGCTAAATTTCACAAGAACTTTGGTTACATTGGTTAGGGGTTCCAGAAGCTGCAGCCCCAACACCTGTAGACCACCAGCCTATGGAAGAGTATCACAGATGGCACTGGTGACTCAGCCTGATCATCATCATAAAGCCAAGTGGTCCAAAAATATTATAATGACGGTAAGTAGGAAAAGTATACCATCTGCGATGTTTTAAGTCTGCTGCTGAAAGTCACAAAAGAGGGGAGGGTCAAAAGAAGCTGCAGGACTGAAAGACAAATATTCTCTTTCTTAGCTGAGATAAATGAATGATTAAACCGAGACATGTCTCCTTCTGCCAATTCTGATATGGCCTGCAAACTTACTTGTGAGACGTGGACTACGTTCTCAAAATGCAAAGAAAAAAACCATCAGAAATTCAAAACCGCAGACCTAAAACGAAGACGCGACGCTTGTCTTAAAGAACTGCAGAAATCACTTCAAAGAGTGCCCGCAGGACTTTTTGCCCTGGTTTTTGGCTGTCCGTCAAAACCGCTCCACCCCGCGCTGCAAGCCTACCTCTCCTCTTCCTCCCCAGGAGCCATTGTAAACCCCCTCGTTTTCTTCTCGAAGCCCCAATTCTTTCAGCCACGCGTACTGGGCTTGGTTGATCAGCAAGGTCGACATGAAGGCGGCCGGTGTGTTGCGAGAAGCGATGAGGGAGACGCTTTTCCTCAGCAGAGCACGCCTGGCGAGCACCGAGAGCCCGACTTGCAGCAACATAGCGAGAAGGGGCCGTGGCACTTAAGGCACCAATCGCCAAGAGGCATCAATCAACAGCCCACCCCCCAAACGCAGAGCCCGGATTGGCGAAGGCAACACTCAGTCCACGCTGCCTGGCGGACGGAATAAGGCACGCCTCCACCTAGCGTCGACTGACTGCGACTCGGCGCATCCGCCCCCTGCAAATCTGGACCTTCCGAGCTTCTGCCTCTTCCTCACCTTAAAGGCAAAGATCCGGAGAAACTAACGCCCACCCAATGCCTGCAGAAGTCAAACGCGTTTTCGCACCTGTCAGGAGCCACCTGTAAACTGGGCCCTGCTTTGTAGGTGCGGTTTACAGTCAGTGCTTAATGGGAACTGCAGCATTTTCCCTGTCGGAAATTCTTTTATGAAGTTTGCATATCTCATCTTTGTCTGTAGGAGGTCTAGGCAGCTAACAGCAATTGCATCACGACAAATAATAAAACACCCTTTCAGTTTACAACAAAAATATTGAACATTAGAAAAAGGAAGAGCAAAATACTAAATCATTTGTAATAGCTTGGTATGCTTTGGAAGGGAGTTTGGAGTGCAAGCCTCCAAATGACCTTTAGAGGGCAGCAAAGAGATACATAAAATGCTCTTTGCTGACAGCCCAGTCTGACCACATGGCAAAGATAAGACTTTGGATAAAAACCCTCACAGTAAAATGGTAATGCTCATCATTAGTCATACATTTTTTCTTAGTACTGTATAGCATATTATGGAAGCATAAACCAGAGGATGCACTAGACTAAAACCTATTTTCAGTGCTTGGAAATAGACACAGAAAGCTACCAAACCTGATTTCTAAATATGACAGTTTATTCCCTCTTTTATTATATAACCTCAGCGCCAGTCTGATTCTCCTACACAATTTAAATTAGTTATTATTAGCCACACCTTGCTTTGTTGTAACTACCAGCAGACATTAACTAGAAAGGGATGGCTATCTTAAATTATTTTCATAAAACCTGTAAGGAAAAATATACTTCAGACATCATGGATTTTAATACATTTTAAGATTTTAAATCAATTTAAGTGAAATAAACATTTACACATGCCTCTTGAGCCATTCTCTTGCTTAGCTTCACTGACCCTTGGACCCAGTCTTATTTCTTGAAGGTTCACTTCCTTCCAATATCAGACATGATGCCACTTCTGCTCTAGATGTGGATCAGGTAATGGCATCAACTTGAACAGCCTTTGATTTCAGTTCAGAGGTTTTTCTGACCACAAATGGCACAGGGTGCCATTTAATGCCACAATATTCTTTGAATCAATGAACCCCCACAAAAGGCAAGCAGTCCAGGCATCAGGATTGGAAACTCACATGATCCTACCCCCCCAAAAAAAATCACAAAGACCTTTTTCATAAGTTCTGATTTGTGAATCTCACAAAGACAATAAAGATTATATGCATCTGGAAAAGAGACACATATAACATTTTGTTTTGCTAAACGCTCGTACATTGGTTATCCTATTGTAAATAAATGTGGGGAAAGTTTAACATGAAAGAGAATCATGGACACAATTCACAGAATTCAACTTTCATATGGATCTTTTAAGAATCCAAAAACAAAGGAATTTACTAGTATATTATCATGAACAAATAATAGTATTTCAAAATCTCAAAACTAATCACTGATCTTGCTATCATATAACAAGTGAAACTCAAGACAAAAAGGACTATAATTTGTTCAGCAGATTAATTTTATTCTCAAACTTGGAAGTTCATAATCACTGTTAAAACACAGAAAGAAGGCGGGCAAATGTATGCAAGTATGTATGTGTATGTATGTGTGTGTGTGTGTGTGTGTGTGTGTGTGTGTATATATATGGGGGTGCACAGTCCATAACATCCTTTAAAACTAAATTTTCTTCTGGCAATTCTGGATGGGGCCTCAAGAGACCCATTCAAAGCTGACGTATATTTGTAAAGTTTAATATGGCAGAAAGGGGAAATTATTAAGTAAAACAGAAACATTCATTTAAATTATATTTAATTAAGGCTGTATTTTATACTGTTAGGCCACATTTAAACTATGGAACTCTTCCCCTTGGCAAAAGCTGAAAATTCCTACCACCCCCAAATCAATGACTCTTTGTCCACCAGTACAACACCCACCAGTTTGTACACTGACATCTAAGAAAATGGACTGGTTTATTTGTCAGGAGTACAGCTTTAATATACAGTGGGTGTTTTTCCACCATCACCATCTCTTTCTTTCTTGTGTCATGAAAAAATATCCCCAGCGTTCGGATTTTCGAGTTTTATATTTTGCAGCATAAGATTCAGGTCTGAAAAGACCAACCCGGGAAATCTCTGAATACAGAACCCGGATGTAAATTCTCGGTCGGAAAGAAATTAAAAGAAAGACTACAATTCCCACGATGGTTCAAGGAGGGGGGGAGAGAAAAATTCTCTCTGCCCCGCCTTTTTCCTCCGCGCAAGGCATTATGGCCTCAGTAGTTTTTGTGGACTAAGGCCACGACTCGCCCCTTCGCGGCTCCTGGCCTGATTGAGAGAGGAAAGATGGCGTCGGAAGTTCGAGGAATGGAGCAGGATGTGGAAGATGGAGAGATTTCGGACTCGGACTGCGAAATGCCGGTCTCAGCTGCTTCCAGGAGTCCCCAACAGGTCTGGCCCACCCTTACCAGGTCTTTCTATGGGCTGCCTTCTTGCTGAGCTGAAAGCCCAGGAGGTCAGCCGGTGTTTTCCTCCACAGAGGAAAACCGGTGAGCTTTCCAACGCGCGGGATGGTGAGGGTAGCATCTTGGGAGGAAGCTTGCAATCCAAGTCTGCCCGTGCTTATTTCGGTACCATCCTATTGGAATGAATTAGGCTTTTTTCCCGCTTGAGCCTGGGTAGGATCCGATGACCCGCCAAGCATAAGATGTTCTATTTCTTACTGCAATGGCTTCTCCTGTCGCTGCAGCCCCGAAGTCCTGCCTTGTAAGCGACTCCAGCGTACAAAATTTATCATTTGAGCTGAGCCTAACACTGAGTCATAAGATTTCAGATGTAATTATTTGGATGATTGGCTGGATATATGGGGCCAGTAATAGCACAGAGTATTTCTCAAAGGGATTGCAGCCAGCAGACCCTGTTTTAGGATCTATTCTGAGGAGGAAGATGCGATTCCCACCTTTTCTACAAGTGTTTTGTGCTGCTGCACAGCTAGTTTTCCCCAAGGTTGCTGATACTTTCAAGCTGAACATAACTGCTGTAGTTTGGGTCATCTAAATATTCATACTAGGAAAATGAATTTATTTCTGCTACAAGGGATTCTAAATTTTTTCGCTGTGATTCCAGACTTAGCATCTTTGCTGGCATACTGTATTTGGATATCTTTCTGAAAACAGTCTGTGAGAGCAGCGTTTGTTTTTGTGTGGCCTGTTTCATTATGGAGATAGGACTTCATTTCATTTATTTTTATTCCGCATTCAACTATCTACCGATTATGCTGTTTATCTGACAGTATAAAAGGGGGGGGGGAGTACTTTAAACAGCACAGTGACTCAACGTGCATCAAGATGTTTAAATATGGTTCTAAAGAGACAGTAACTTCAAATTTGAACTTTGTGTTTAAAGGCTTGCTAATTTCAGCCCATTAAATATGGAAAAAAGAATAGATAGCATGCTGTATGTGATATGTAGTTCAGACTCATTCGCTTAAAAAGTATTCCCACAAGTGTCCAGCTTGGACCCATTATATCAGCAGATGTAAGCTATATAGAATCAGCAAAATTAATTTTCTAACCTTGTGGACTTCTTAATTAGTTTTCTAAGGATAAAGACATTATTTAGATGGACTATTAGTGAGATTATATAAAATAAAAGTGAAATAGCACTCAAGCATAATTCTTTTTTGAACTTTTGATCTTGATTAAAACACTGCTGGCTCAGATAAAATAAATGCAGAAATATACACAGGGCATGCTACATGCAATAGTTCTAGCACACTTGCAACCTTAGTAGGATGTTTTACTCATTGTTTCAATTGCTTATACAAAAATACAAAAATATGTACATTGCCCAGAATTGTTCATATTGAGACAGTCTTTAACAACTGTTGAATAAATAAACTAAATTAACTCTAGAATAAATTTACTACTATAAAATGTTTTACTGATGATCTGTAACTCCACTATTGATTATTCAAATAGATAATTCATTTTCTAAAAGCTCTTGGTGAGGTTGGATCATTCTTCCATATTTGGTAGCAATGGGCCCAGCAATTTGGGGAAATTATTTATAATAGAATGAAGCAAATTCTAGAAGTTGAATTCCTTTTCCAATCTCCCATCTTTCTATTAAATATTACTAACCTCATTGTTCTACGAAATATACTAAACTAGCTTTGTACATGCCAACAGCTGCTAGGATACTCTATGCTTTGCACTGGAAAGTATGTACAATTCCTTCAGTAGATAAATGATAAATTAATTTGTGGGAATATGCCTTGATATCTAGAATAGCCCTGTATTTGAAAAATAAATCTGACACAATTTAACACGGCAACCATTTTTTGGATTGTAGTTCTACTTACGGGCTTATATTGCATCTAAAATTTGAGTTTCTCTAAACATAAAGTTTAAACATTTAAGTAGAAGATGATTTGTTAAGTAAGGATATTTCTTACTAACTAGAAAAGACTATAATTTTTTAGTTTAACTTTTATTTCATGTTGTGCTGATTACTATCATTGATACTCATACTTCATTTTGATTTTAATGATACATTGTTTTAAAATGACATGTTTAAATATGTAGTATTTTTGTTATAATTTGTACCTAACTTACTTAATCTTACAGTAAGCTTACAGCTTTCAAATATCTTGTTTATTTACCTTGTGCATTTCTTTTCTTTTTTTCTTTCTTTTTTCTTTTTTGGTTTCTTTCTTGCTTCTGCTTTTTTCCCTTTCAAAATGTTCAATAATTTTTTGAAGGAAAAAAGAATAAATTAACTCTAGAAGAGTGAAATAAAAGAGTACCTATATTTTCTCATATTTGGTGGTAGGAATATAAACCTGTCCAGATTTTCTAAAGGTGAATTGGCCTTCAGAAGAGAAGTAAAAATCTGCCTACAGTACTCCATGTACCAGCAGCATCTGTAGAGGGGTGGGATCAAAAAAGGCAGGATGACAGAAGCAGCATTGCAGTGCAAAGCCCACCCGTTTTGTATCTATGTCTTATGTTGGTATATGTATAAAAGGGGTGGGGCTTACATTGTGATGCCAGTATCACTTCTGTCATCTTGCCTTTTTGACCCTCTCCACAGATGTCGCTGCCATGCACCAAAATTTAGGCTTCAGATTTCTGCGAAGTTCTGAAGCTACTTCCCTATTGAAGGGGACATACAATGACCTATAGCTTTCCTTCATAAGCTGTGGTTCACTGGGCCTGTTATTTCATGGTTTCATGAAAATTTGCATCCAAATAAGTTGGGACTACAACTTCCATGATTCCCAGAGAGAAAGCTGTTCCAGATCATTCAGGTTTGTTTGGCCAATTAACTTTTTATGTGGAAGGTATGAGGTCTAGATTGCATCACAGAATTTCAATTCTCAATGGCAGAATTTACCTTTTTATATAATAGCAAAGAAACTTGTGCCCAACACACCAGAAAGACACTGGAATCTTCTGTGAATTTCAGTGATTTTATTTTCTCCCCTCATAAAATGTCCCCAGTTTTGAAGGTAGAACTAATCTAAGCAGAATGTGCTTGATGTCTACTTAAGAACTATTAGTAACAATGTAAATATTAGCCATAATAGCTACAGTGGAACTAGTTTTAAATAGAAAGTCAGGTCACTATGCCCTGTATGTCAGTATACTGTATATCCATATGAAAAATGCATGGATAATTGCTTGTGGCAAGTATGAATTGCTATTAGCTGATCAAAAGTTGTTGTTTTTTTTTATTTTTTGGTAAACTGAGAAGAGCTAGTGGTCTTTTTTTCCTTGTGCCCTGTTAGGAAAAATTTCATGCCCCAAACAGAAATAATTGACTGAATCGTACATGTTCATATTGCTGGTCTTATACGTTACACTAGCTTTTTATAGTGCAATCCAATATCATCATCTTCTTGTTGTTCAGTCGTTAAGTCAC